ATATGAATTCAGTTTACAGTTTTTAACTATTAACACTCAATGTGATATTACCAAAAATGAAATTAAGAATGGCACTGTAAATAATGCAAGCTCTTTTAATTAACAAGGCAACCCTTATTACCCCTTAAAGTATGCATGTCATAGTCTTTTCAAGAGGTAAGGAAAAGTGCAAGGTATTGCTCTTCTTATTTTCATTTCTTCAGGAATAGATTTTATTTTAATTCCATGTCACAAGAAAGGCTACACCTGTCCAAACTAGAAGTTGTTACAAAATGGCCCTTCTGAGCAGATATTGCCTTCTTTGTCCTCTCTTTGTTATGACTCTAATGTCTTCAGTCAAACAGAACCTGCAGGAATCACTTTAAAAAACCCAACCTATTCAGTAAATTTATCCTACATACCCAATCTGAAAACTGCAAAAAAGAAAATATTCCTCTCTTTTTGTTCGTCTTTAACCTGTAACAGCCGACACTGCAGAAAAGGCTAAATGCATGACTAGGAAGACCCCCTTATCTCTAGCCAAAGAGCAAAATATGTCTCATGAAATATGGTAACGGTTGGATGCTGGAGGACATTGCAACAGCCAGGAATCAAAATAGCTATGAATTCTACAATAATATAGAAAAAATCCCTGGTTGGTGAATTTGACTGAACTATTTTCAGTAACTGCAGTAGATCTTACAACATACAAGAAACTCATAATACACACTAATTGAAGCATATCATATTTGTTAAATGAGGCAAAGTGGAAAATCTCTATGTAAAGTTTTTCAGTGAACTTCTACTGTCTCTAAAAGGCATTATTTTTGCATGATAAGCTAGTTTGATTCTATTGTCTACCATGGTTCAGTTTAACTTGCCATAGGAAGTCTCTTTTTCTTTTGTTTACTGAATGGCAATTTTCACTGAATAATGAAATCCATTTTGAAATAGAAAAGGTGAAGTGCTGCTAATAAAGTCACTCTAGCATTTATCAGAAACATTAGCATACTTTTATTAGTAATACCAAAATACTGTAAGACTATTATTTCTTTATAGTACAGACTGTATTGCGTTACATTTTTCAATGTTTATTACACAGTATTACAACATATTTCCTCCTTATCAAATGAAAATTTTGTGCACAGCCAGAGGAGCCTGAAAGATGCAACTGATTCAACTGTAGATTTGCTCTGTATCTGATGAATTCTCTCCTTATAATTAAGTTGTCATAGCAATGCATTTTTAATAGTACTGATTCATATGCCAGTAATGTCTTGGAGACAGAGCTCTTGATAGTTTTTTAGTATTCAGTTATGCTAAATTATAACTTTAGCAAATACACAAGAACTGGTCTACTTGCACTAGGAGAAGAACACATGATTAGAGTTAAATTAGGCCAAAGCACAATCTGACATGCACAACTAACAGAAAGCTACATAAAACTTTGGGTGGCTCAGCTCAAGAAAGTAAAGGCAAATCCTACACCTGCTTTGTTTTAAATGCAAATGTTTAATGATTAAAAAAACCTAAATGATTACACCTCACTAGGCAGAAACACAGAGGTTTTTTTTTTCCCCAGAGGTGTTGCTTTCATATATTGGTACTTATATGGTACACCAGATAGCCATGGAGAATAAGCACTGAAAATGAGAAATCACAATACGCTGCTGACTCAGCTTTAGCATGTCTTCCTCTCTGGATTTTTAACAGATCAATTAAATTACACATCTTTGTAAGGTTTCAAAATAACAGGAAATCATCCTCCAGTGTCTTGGCTGTTTCCAAGGCACTGATAGCAAGTGTCAGCATGCATGAATCTGTGAGAGCTAGGCATGAATCATGTGCACAGAAAATTGCCTGATATCCCATTCCTTTTTAAATTCAGAATATGAAGAATAGTGTGCATTATTTTTTAATATCAGGCAAAATGTAAGTGAATCAGAAAGATGAAACAAGAAAACGGTGTTTTTTCTGGGGCTGGGAAGAGAAGGAGGGTAGAGGAAAAACAGATTCTTTTCCTCACGTGTATCTAGAAAGTATAAGGCTTAAATTTTGAAGTGCTGGTTGAGAAAAGCATTACATAGCACACATCCTCTAAATGCTCCTTCAAAGGGCTGATGAAGGGGAAAGTATATTGTGAATTGCAGTAGCTGATCTAACTAATACATCTTAAGGAAGATGTGTATTGATTAGTAATGAGGAATGCCTAGCCTCTAAGTATATAAACATAAAATGGTCATTGTTCACCCTGAAGTTTCTGACCTTCACTGGGTAATGTAAGAAATACACCTGCTTAAGTCAGACTTTAGAAGCTTGTAAGCAAGGGAAAGTTGTGCAAATACTATAAATTTCACATACACTAAACTTACCTGTTCCATACGTATAGCCTAAGAGTCAAAAATTGAACCAAAACCCCTTTTTTTTGGACTGAAGCACAGTGAAAATCTTACAATGGCAAAGATAAAGTTGCTAAGGGAACTGTGGAGTGATGAAGGCAAGATGGTACCAAATGACTAAGCAGAATTTTTGCTTCCTTCTCACTTCCTGGCGTATGCATTTTTTGTTAGGATCAAAGCCAATCCTACACTTTGAGTATCTAGGGAAAAAAAAGTGGAATAGGCAAGCTGAAGCTGACATACAAACTAAGACTTCCCAGAAAATAAATATAGTAAGAAATATGAGAATATATGCATTAATAAGTGCCTATATGCAATATATGCTCCTCTACCCTTTACTTAGAATGGATTGTACTTTAATTAATAAATAAATACATAAATAACATTTTCCTTAGCAGTTGTAGTTTCTCTTCTATGGATTTCTGGCTGTTGCTGCTTTCTTCTTCAAAAAGTGCATCTTTAAAATTAATAGAAATTACATATTTAATGAAGGGATCAGCAGTCTATAATGTCGTTTCAGACTAGTTAGACAATTGGGTTCTTTTAACAAGGACTCTAGTCTGTAATGAACATGGCTTCATTCACTTTGTTGGATGTATTCCTAAGTATAGGGAATGAACTGTTTCTATAGGATACTTCTAATCTAGTTCTTTGCTGCTAGGCAAAAGCTCTGCAACATTTTGAATGAAATGTTTGAAATAATTGCTTCTCCAGAAAAACAAACAAACAAACAAAAAAACCATTGCATAATATTTCTGCTTATGTTAATTTTCATAATTTTCATATTCTAAAACATCACTTAATAGTACCAGAAATAGTGACTGTGGATAGACTCTGAGATTGGCTGTAAAGATTGAGATGTGGTGGGAAGCTAGAGGACAACCATACTCTAACTAGTAACATAAGGCACTTCGAACTTATCAGTTGCTTCGTATAGAGCTGCTGAGATATCAGAAGCAAACCCAATGATACTCATTTTTCCACATGAGTACTCACAGCAATGCTTATAGTATCAGGTGCATAGAGCTGTAATGGAAGTATGTGTATCTCTATACAACAATAACACATGGGAGAGAGATAAACAGGGGCAAACCTTTAGCTGACTGCAATAAATACCTTTACAAATATGATTGCATTGTCTACATGGAAAAGGCATTTTTGAAGATCTGAGACTGGACAAGTAAGAAAGAAGCAGGCACTGAGGACTCCCAGGGGACTGGTACAAGAGGGAGCAGAGAGTAATATCTGGCTACTGCCTACTCTCACTACAATGTAAGCTGACAAGGTAGTATTTCAAAAATGCTTCCGTACAAAAATCAGCTCAACGTTATGAACATGTTCTTGCCAGGTTCTGAGTGGGCTTTCTGTTTTGATTGCCTTGGAGGAAGGATAAAGGAAGAATCACAATCTACATTCTTGCCCCTCAAGTAAATAAAATAGAGTAGCCCCTCATTATAGCTCCCCTTCATTTCCCATTAAATTCAGCTTCAGTGAATAACAAAGCCGACCCTTTCCTCAGACATCTTGCAAAGGTTTATGTTTGAGAAAAAACAGCTTCTCTGCCTGCTTGGAGCTCTGCCTACTTCTCTCCTCATCATGATGCAGAATAATTTCATCCAGCCTCAGATCCAAAATGGTACTAGATAACCACACATCTTCCCATTGTTTGGTTCTTCCTTAAGGTTATTTATCAAATGCAAGATATACAGGCAAAGTAGTCGTAAACAAATGTTACATGCAATATTTTCCCTTTTCCTAGTTTAAAGCCTAAGACAGGCAGAAAGTGAGCCTGCAGGTGACAAAGAGGACAAAGTTTCCAACTCATTTTAAGTTTGCACTTTAAGTATTAAGCAAGTCCTTTCCCAAGGTACCTAAACCAAAATATGCTACACCAAAGCCTGTCTTGGATCATCATTTTGAAGTTGTAACACAAGTCATCACTTTGAATGTCAACTGAGATGCGAAAAATGTGTGTTTGAGTTCATTCAGCACAGAGATTTTTATAAAAAGGGAAATATGCTTTGGTTAATGTGGAAGTTGCTACCAGAAACAGCAAGCTGTTAGTTAGAAAGGAGCAGATCAGTGGGAAATGCTTTTTTCTTTGGTCTACAAAGTGGAATTGTATCATTCATAAAAAGCATGAAAAGGGACCTTTTAATGCTGTATTCATTTATTGGATAATTATGACTCTGATTCAGTGCTGCTTCTATACTTTGCTATCTTAATAATAAAAATGGCCAGGCTGACATCATACTTGTGCTGTTATTCAGCAAGCCGTCCCATTACCTGTACATTTTTAGGAAGATGTCAACAGTTAACCTTGACCGCTTCATTATGTAGCACAGACTATCTCTCAGGCAAGTTTAAAAAAACAGTTTCAGATACCATAGACCTCAGTATTGTATTGATATATAACATTAATGCATAGTGACAAACTAATGTCAAACAGTAAATGGCGAATAGGTGCATTCTAGCAAAAAGAAAAGTGAAAAAGAAGGAAAAAGGCTAGATATTTTAAACAATTTATTTGTTACTATAGCTCAAGGCTTTTTCCTGATCTGTTTCAAGCTGTAATAAAAATTACATGAAATATTTAAAATGTGAACAGGCAAGTTTACTTACTGTTTCCTGGATGCCAGCGCACTGCATTTAAATATGCATTACAGTAATGAAAGAGAAATTCATGTTTGGATCGGGTAACTTTTCCTTGAAGTAAGGGCATCAGATCATGTCCATCAATAATTCTGAGTAAGAAAGCATTTCAAAATCAGAATAACCCAAACCTGACTCTATGGATATGTTATAGTTCTGCATTTCCACTCCTTAAAAAAATAAATCTTATTCTCATGATCTGAATGGCCACCTCAGATTGGTCAATTCAGAGAAAAACCTTCAGGTGCTCTTCTCTTTTGATTTCTACATTATTTAAGGAAACATAAATTTTACATTTTGCCTTTTTTTTTTTTTTTTTTTTTTCTGGGAAAGTGACCAGACATATGTGAGTAAATTGCTACAACACAGTCCTCCAGGTATAAAAACACATAGACCTTCTCAACCTGTTTGGGAGTAGTCTGGCCACAGTAAGCCTAAAACAAGAAATATATGCTGTGCTGTGTTAGCATCCCCAGAAGTAATGTTAAAAGCTCTGTCCAGCAAATTATGCATGCCAGAATTCAACACACAACTAGTAGTTTTGAAATTGAAATTGAACTATGTGTAAGTATATGTTTATCACCACCACACACACACACACATATATAATAATTAAATGCTGCTGGACAATTTTGATCATGGTTTGAAGGAGTCAGTCAATTTACATCAAAATGGAATTATAAAATAAGCAAGGCATCTAAATGTTTCCATAAATTAAGCCTTTGAATTGCTGGAATCAGCTGGCAGGGGAGAAACCACAATCTGCATTTTTGACCTGGTGTGAATTACAAATTTTACAAGAAGTTTTATAGGAAATTACTTTTTGCTGATATACAGATTGGCAGGGAACTATTTTTTAAGCATTTTGAGCAACATCTCATAAAAACTTTTTTGACGCTTTTAAACCCTTAAATGTCTATCTTAATTTTCATTACAACATCACACCCTTTTCACATTAGTGTAACTAGTAAAAGACAGGTACTATCTTCACTTTTTTAAGCCACAAGCTATGTATGACTATGAAATTCTTGACAGCAATTGGATGCAACAGCACCATTCTGAATAGAACTCTACTCAAAGGATGGGCAGGAAAATATACTGGAATTCCTAAAGCAATGTCATCCAATAACTCTGCTTTCTGTGTGCACCCCTGTCTGTGGGGGTCTGTTGAATTAGGGTCCTTCCCATTCTCAAATAGCTGTGTTTTCTTGCCTGAGCAATGCAGTCTTGTCTTGCCCCTGCAGGTTTTCCCACTATGAAGCTGAGACCTGGACAGATGCATGACCATTGTACATTTTCTGTTCTACACCTTGTTGATGGAGAAAAGGGTGTCTCCAGCAATATGTTTCCAGTACTCTTGCATTCCCACATCTGCTGGTTTCAGGGAGGGTATATGAGCCTTTTCTTTCTGATGACTTATTTTTCTTCTTTAACTAAGATCATCTCCTCCTTTCATTTCTAACCTGTTCCCTCCTAGTGATGGAATCCTATTCATAGTAATTTTTCTTATTTCTCAGGAAAAATTCAGCGGAGTGATAGGAATTCATCTGCTGTATCAAAGATGCTTCAAGCTAGTCCATGGCATCGCACTCTGACCTACCATGAAGCAGTAATTATGGCACATAGTCAACACAGAAGAATCAGAATGGAGCAACTTGCAAGTGGAAATTACATGAGTATATTGGGATTTCTGTCAGAGATTAAAATAAAACATCAGTGCTTAGTCTTCACTCAAGCAATATGAAAACAAAGTGGATAATATTGGCCCACATTAAGAACAATCTGAACTGCTTAGGTTTGACAGTTACTGCTTGTAGGAGATCTCTCAGGACCATTCTGACTAATTTTTCATGTCTTCACATGTCCTGCCCTGCCACTTCCTTCAAGCGCTCAATGAATCATCATTAGCAGAGTGTCTCTGCTCACCATGGGTTTTCCTCATGCGGATTCTGGATGCTTTGTGCTCAAAAGCTGGTTTTTTTATGGTAGATGTATTCAAAGCATATGCATATCAGTAGGTTTCTCCACTTACTGGATATGGATGGCAAGAGAGTTTAAGTAGAGACACCTTGCTGCTGAGACTGAGTGTCTCCTGAACAAGACCAAGCACAGGGATGTAGAAGTGTCAATAAAGCATCTTATTAATTTTAGAAGCCCAGTGCTGCAAAACTCTGTAAGGGTTTATTTTCATTAACTTGGTAGACAACAAAAAATCCCATGAAAAGGCATTTTGATGTTTTTTTATAGTAAGCAGGCCAAGGCTGAACTTGTAAAGTTTAAAATAATTTACACTTGTAGCTCCTTTTTCTACTGCATTCACTTACGTAGAACAGAGCCTTTTTTGATACATTTATTTTTGCTTTTAGTAAATAATTCTAGGCTATGACTTGACAGTATGTTGCTCTTGGTGGTATTCTCTTACCCTAATTTGCTTGGTGCTTGTTCTGCAAGTTAAGCTGTACTTACATACAATGTTTCTGTAAAATATATCAGTATGTGTCCTGGTTTCGGCTGGGATAGAGTTAATTTTCATAGTAGCTAGCATAGTGCTGTGTTTTGGATTTAGTACCAGAAGAATGTTGATAACACACTGATGTTTTCAGCTGTTGCCAAGTAGTGCTCAGACTACTCAAGGACTTTTTGAGCTTCTCCTGCTCACCCAGGTGCATAACAAGCTGGGAGTACACCACGCCTAGGACAGCTAACCCAAACTGTCCAAAGAGCTATTCCATACCATATAACGTCATGCTCGGGGGGGGGGGTTAGTTAGTTCGGTCGGTTGGTCGGTCGTGGGGAGACTGCTCGTGGCTTGGGGACTGCTTGCAGCTCGGGGACTGCTCGCGGCTCGGGACGGGCTGGGCATCGGTCGGCGGGTGGTGAGCAATTGCGTTGTGCTTCATTCGTTTTGTATAATCTGTATATTCTGTTATCATTCTCATTATTACTATTATTATTATTTTCTCTTATTAAACTGTCTTTATCTCAGCCCTCAGCTCTAACCTTTTATTTTCTTCCCAATTCCCTCCCCCATCCCACTGAGGGAGGGGGGGAGTGAGCGAGTGGCTGCGTGGTGCTTAGTTGCCAGCCGGGTTAAACCACGACAGTATGTCAATATGAAAAGAGACAACATACGACTGTAAGTAATGACAAAAAAGTGCTTTTAAAATGTAAATTTTTCTTTTCATTTTTACCTCTATTTTAATAGACATCGCCAGAATGTATGAAATGCTCATAAGACTTTCTCTAAAATAGACATAACTACAGAGCATACCTGTCAGAGGGTAACTGTGCCTTGGCAAGTTTGACTATGGTAGGAAATATATCCATGTTACTTGTTGGTTCATCAATATAGGCACCAGCCTGTATGACTCCAGGCCAACGGAGAAGGCCTGGCACACGAATACCTCCTTCCCAGTTCATTGATTTTCCACCTGAAAAATGAAAGTTTTGTTTGCTAAAAAATCAACTTAGAAAAATAGGCCCCCCAGAACATTCAATTTCCAAATATTAAACATTCTGTCTAGCTAAAATCTTTTCAGTAAATGCATTTATTTTATCTTTAATTTGCTAGGTTTAGATTTTCCACCTACAATCAGCACCTTTCTCATAGTAAATGTACTAATATGTATTAGACAGAGTTTATAAAATGAATTTAGTTTACAAACAAAATTAAATAACAGCTGTAGAAGATAAAAAGGTACCTTGCAGAAATCCTCATCTAGAATTTGGTCTCAATAGTGTGCCACATAGGTATGCGAAGATACAACAAAAAAAAATTGGACTGAAAAATAAATTGATGTATGCCTATATGTGTGAAGTATGAACCCAGAGAAGACATATGATCTTTTATTAAAAATGGTGCTTAATGACTTTAGATAGAAGAAAGTACTAACTTAACTTAACTATGTTACTGAATTCTCTCCAATTCAATGCATTAGGAGGAAATTCTCTACACTGATGATAGATCTCAGGATGCTGTGAAGACCTTTACGACTTCTAAACCAGCACAGCTGCATCAAATACACTATCAACTGATTGCATTCAACATTACATTGCAGCCATTTCTTTTTTTTCAACAATATCCATTGCTGCCCAGTCCTCCTGAAATCTTTGTAGAAGAGCAATGTGTTTATTCTATGACAACATTTCTTCTAGTACTTGATATATGATTGATGAAACACTGTATGAAGAGGTAGTAGTATTATTAATGTCTTACACAGTCATGTGACTATGTACAGAACTTCACGTTGATCTTTGGAATTAATATATCACTTGAAAAAAATATTTCTGGTAAATGGATGGGTTTTGGATGTGGTTAAGCACGGTCTAGATCAGGAATTTACAGCTAAATTGAGATTGTTTTATAAAATAGAAAGGTCTGAAAGAATAATAATAATATGTGTGTTGAACCCCTGCCACTAACTGAATCCAACAGTAATTCATGGTTCGAACAAAAATACTGTCAGCCTTCTTTTCCTGTATCTCCCTTTTTCAAGTAAAAAAAAAAAAAAAAAAATGAAAGAACAAAATATTACAACAAAGTATATAATAGTTCTGTCTCCTCAGCCTCTTAGACCTTCAAAACACCACACAGATTTTAATATCTTTATTGTCAAGACCAGGCTTTTCTATACATGATGTCTATCTTACTGACTCCTCAATGATCTTTTCTATTTCAGCATTAGGCAATTCATAATCCACCTGGTTTTTGACAGGTTTTTCACTGCTCAGTAAGGTTTTCTGCAGGTTTTTCACTGTTCATAAAGGTAAGTAGGAACTTCAAGAAATAAAACTGTCTTTTGCATAGATTTTTACCCATATATATATATATATACACACACAGTCTTGTGGTTAAAAAAACTTTAGCTCATGATTGTTATACCAGATTTTTGCTTACTTTTTTTCATGGGCTTTATCAGAATTTGTAATATTGAATAGCCAGGGATACACGATTATTTAGTCTGACATCAGAAAACTTAGGCTTTCTAATATCCAGCATTACTTTAAGCAACAATCTTTGATTAAGTTGTTCTTGGACAGCATTGCCAAGTTCATATATCAACAAGACTATCCATCTTTTAAAGCAGTCTTAAAAATTTACTCTTGTCACTGCATCATATGTGATTCCATTCTCACCATAACACACATGGCTACCTATTCTGAAACTCAGGAATGAGATGCATGGATTATTTTTGTTTGCATTCTTGTAAAAAATATTATTTTCAAAACAAAAATCTAAATAAATTGTAGATTTAAGTTTATAAAGGTGTTATGTGGTGAGTTTTAAAGCACCTGACACCTAGGAGAAGGAAATGTTCACCCAACAATATGCCGATGGGTTGTTAATATGGTTAGTTCGAGACCAGCATAGATGCTAATAAACTGCATTTTCTGTAGAAAAGGTGACTCTACCAATGTACAACAGTCACTAGGATTTTAAAAGTTTGTGGGGGTTATGTGTTACTCAGCAGGAAAGCGTCAAGATTAATATCCTTAGTTATGGTTCACAGAAAATCCTGTTTATCAGGAGTATTAAAATCTGAATAAAAATCCAGGAGAAGTATAAGGACAAAAAATTACAGGTATCCTCAAATTAAGATATTTTTTAGTGAGCAATTATGCCAGGGAGATGATTTAGTTCATGAGCCAGTTCCTAGTTTTGTGTACACATCACAACAGCTTGTTGGCTGGACAGTATGGACAGACCAAAAAACTCTTAAGAGCAGATCTGTACCATAGATAGCTTTAAGTGTAAGGTTTCTTTTATTTCTGTATACCTGTCTGAACCTAGGTCCTAGGTAGATTGGATTGTTTAAATAAATTCTCGTTCTACTGATGCCTCCTGTGTAATCTGAAGACAGAGCAATTTCAAGGTAAGTGGTGAATACCATTCGCACACATGATGCAATTCTTGAAACCTAGATATTGGATCACTTTCACAGCTCCTAGGTTCACAGTACAATTTTCTTGAATCACTACAGAACAGGACAGAAAATTTGCACATTACCCAAGCACAAAGGGAACACTCAGCAAACTCTGCCTCCCTGCTGTGAGGTACAAAAAGCAAAATGGGTTCCAAACGGGGTTATCTCCTTGCTTATATCTATGAAGAAGTGACTGCTGTTTTCCTTTCAAAAGACTAATTGGAGCATAATTTTTTGATATCTCTGGAGGTTAGGAACAGCAGGGAACCAGGACAGGAATTACAGGTCATTGTGGAAGACTGTCTTCTATTATCTGTACCTATGTGGTGTTCGTCTTTATTAGAACTGTGTTTAGTGACATCACCAGACTTGCTTAATGCCGTTATATGATTACAAATTCCCTGATATACGCTGCCTTTAAAACTCTAGCTGTCAAACACTGTTCAATCTGTCTGCATTCTTTTTTCCTTAAAAAATAAATCAAGGTTGAAACATGAAGCAAACATGGAAATGGCTAAAATATTTGAAGTAAAATTAAAAAAATCCAAAAAAGTCATTATTTAAAAATAAAATCTTGATATTTCAGCATCCGACTCATTAGTTTTGTATTTCACTTGGAGTTGACAACACTGAAACAGAGAAAAGGCAGCAACCTAGCAGTCTGTACGACTGGCAAACCTTAGGCAGCCTAGCTATGTATTATTTTTGTTCTCTTAAATTCTTCTAAAAATGTTTTTAAAACAGCATTAAACACCCCAGGGTGTATATTCACGCTTAGCTATCTGTGCTTTCTGAGTAGTTGCACCCTTCAGTGTTGCACTGAACAATAGCCTACATTCACCTCTCCTGAAAAATCTGCAGGAGCAGGCAAAGTACAGACATAACTCTGCAGTCATCCACAACATGATGTCAAATTTCCATTTTAACCTCATTTCAAATCTTAGCTAAAAGAATATCTTTTTTTTTTCCTCCTCCCTCTGGTTTAAATTGACTGCTATTACCTAACTCTGGAATAGAGCTTTTACAAAAGATGATGTATAAAGAACTCTGTGGTATATCACTATTAATATTTTGAATGATGAAGATGAAAAACATTTAAAATAACTTTCTTAGATCACTTGGATTATAACCATACTACCCTTTCCTTTTGCCTTACATTATTCTAAAAACAAAGCTTCCAAACCCAATTTATTATCCTGAATGATAGAAAAATACAAGGAAATTAATTACTCTACCCATCTGTGGTGGACTTTATGCTACAAATATCAACAATCAAAACTGGTTACTATTGCTTATCTTATAAAACAATTTCTTTTCAATGGCAAGGCCATTCTTTATTTTACTGATTTTTAATATGTTTCATGTACTGCTTTTGTTAATTTCCAGACTGACCTGTTTTTGTACAAGTGAATCTTATAGATATAGCTCATTTGGACATCTCATCTGATCTTTCTTCCAATCAAATGAAATTTTCTCTCAGGACATTTTCTGTTTTAGTCAAAATTACAAGATGGGTTGATTATTTTAAAAACTAGATCACTTCAGAGAGAACACAAAAATACAGTACATTTGAAAAAAAGGTCAGTTCTTGCTCTCATTAAAGTCAAAAGTGAAACTCCAACTAATATCACTAAATATGCAGTAGCATAGTTCTTGAGGTGAAAATAATGGTCAGTTTAATTTCTCTGTGGCTTACGGATAGGAAAAGGTTTACTAATAGCTTCAAGAAACACTGCTGAATGAACTTATCACTCAAGTATATGAAATTGTATAAAAATAATAAATTTCAATAAAATATTAGATAAAAGATTCCTCCAGTCCTTGTTTATCTCTCACAAATCTGCAGTAAATAAGATCTAAAAAATCAGCACCTATTCCTTAAGAAACATTCGTTTATTATTTTTTCATGGATATTAACAAAGTAACTATGAATATAACTATTCCTAAGGCACAAAGCACTTAAAATGAATGTTGTTTAAATGGTTTGCCATTAACAGCATTTGACTCCATTTCCACTAGCAGCATAATTCATGACCCACTCTAGCAGCATGAGAGTAGCCAAGTGCCTGTATGCATTGTGCTAAATGCTTCAGAAATACAAAGACAGTGTTCCTAATGTGCCAGTCCAAGGTACAATCAAAATATATTTAGCTATGTGTCCAAAAGATGCTGACAGTAAGAATATTACGAGATGAGTGCGTAGAAAATCCCATATGTAACAGAGTGGGATAGATGTCAACAAGTGATAATGAGGGAGGATTCCCACTGTCTGCATGCGTACCAGTGAAATAGTATGAGAAAAAGTACAGAGAAAAGTTTTTAATGCCTTCACTGTTTACTGCTATAAAATGTGCAACAGGACAGACACATTTTATAACACACTGAAGTTAATTCAAGAAGCTAGCCACTAAGCAACTAAATTAAAATTACCACAAAATAATTAGATTCCATACCTGAGTACCAAAAAAGAATATAATGACATCCTTTAGACCAGTCATCTTAAGCTG